TGTCATGTAATCTACTCAACATGATATATTGCAAAGCAGCCCAGCGCAACGCAATGCAATTTAATGTAATGTAATGTAGTGTGCTGATAAGATGCACTGTAATTCAACATAATCACTATTTACACGCGTAGATCCATGCTCATGTAGTCAGATGCAAAATGTTTGGATTCATTTGGTATAGATAGGATGCCGACCAAACATTTTCCAGGTTGACCGATCACACCTTACGTGCCTCAAGGACCATCGATGACGAGTGGAAGGCTCTGCTGCAAAAGATGGATGCCTTGAAGCAAACCGTGGGTCGCTTGGCCTTGGGACGGTTGTTGTACAGCCAAAAAATGATGAAAAATAAGCCATCCCCGAAGAAACATAACATCTGCCAGAGCATATTTTTGGGGTAAACCTGTGGGGTCCACTTCCAATGTCCACCTCTTTGCAGGCTTGGCGGCCTACAAGGGCTCAGAGCCTCTGAAAGAATACCAAGTGCAAGGTTTCAAGATGTATCAGAAGGCGTGACGAGGGGATGGGGGCCGATGGATGGTGACCTATTGTGATGGCTGGTTTGGGCATCCAAGTCCCTACGGATTTTCTTACAACTCTTTAAGTGACAGTGACCGTTCGCAAAGTCCCATAGGCTACATAGAGAGCTTCGGCAAAGCAATGACAAAACAATGGTAGAAAGTTGCACTGCAACACTAAATGGAGAGCATTTTAAATGGGCTCCAAAGTGCTGCTTTTGGTGGATACTGTATTTTAGTGTGGCCAGTCGAAAGGGCTGAGGGCTGCGAGGGGTATCAACACAACGTGTCAGGTGGAGAACAAGTACAAAGCACGATCAGCCACTTCCCCTGCCATGGTGGGGGTAGGCAAGTGGATTTGGACCGCAAGGCGGCCTCAGTACGAGGTACGTCGAAGTACCCACTGCTTGAAGATAGCTAGGTTAGAGCATGATATAAATTATTGCCTCGCTACTGTAATTTAAAAGGGAGTTGCTGCTTTATTTCGACTCCCATTTGCCATGCCCTTTTGGTGAATCAGCATCAGTTCTTGGAGAACGTTTTAGTGGGATACATAGACACATGGATATAAGCCGAAACTAGGCATGCCAAACCTGTTCTGCACCAGAGTGCCTAGAAAAAGCTGACTTTTCCAGGGGTCAGGCCCAAGGACCTCCCCTGTTGGATTGTTTTGACGTGAGCATGGCCCAAATCTGTGTGTCACATCTTACTCTCAAACTTCATCCAAATCCCTGGAGCCCTTTGGTTTGCTCTTCTGGGCTCATTTCAAGTTATGCATATGTACATTGACGCAGAGAGAGAGAGAGAGATAATATACATACACCATAACACCATCATATCCCCCTTGACTCATGATCTCGTTGTTGGTAACGGCTCCTCACTTTGGAGATCCGAGGTGAGCCGTTGGTTGCGATCCAAGCCCAAGAAGGACGCCCAGCAGAGCTGAGTTCACGGAGCTGGAACCTCAGAGATCAGTGGAGTTCAGATTGCTGAAATTTTGACATGTTTTTCTTCTTCCTCCTCTGCAGAATTACATGGTTGTATGATTGTGTTTGATCATGCTTCGTTTCTTTGGGCTGTTTGGGTGCTTCCTTTACCTGCAGTTTCCCACATCCAGCTTGAATCCCCGAGATGCATTTCTGACCAAGTTCTGCCCGTGTCTGAGGTGATGGAAGTTGAGGGGAGTAGATGTAGATTCCAAAATTTTCAGTACCAGGGTCCTCAAGCACTTTCGGTGCCTGGCAATTTTCACGAAAACTTGGGATGACGAATTTGCACCATCCGGTTCACGAAACAAACCTCTCCTATTTAAACATGCCTGCTCTGCCAGCACCATTTGTCCTTAAAGTATCAACAGAACGGGACTTCGTAGATCTGCACAATTGGTCTCCCAAGTTTTATGTTTTCCGTTCACACTTCCTGGTGTGGAAGAGCCCTTGAGCGAGAACATGAGCCATGCAGAACAAATAACAAGTTGTATTTGCAAGGATATTGAGATTCATCAACTCTCAGCGCCCTGCGCAGCCCTGCTTTGAAACCAGGGAGGCGTGGTGACTCAGCGGATAGAAGCCGTTGACAGCCAATTTAGGTGCATTTTCCGGTAGGGCTGCGGCAAAGGTCAAGATGACTGCGAGGTGCACAAATTGACACTCATGCAGAACCACTTTTCATTCTGCCAAGAGGCCAACTCCCACCAAAATTGGTAGGCAACCATGCGGTAAACCTAATCATAAACCACACCCCATTGACCCCAATTTGCACTTTTATGGAGTATCAAAAACTGGGACATGCCTCGATGTTAGCTGTACCTTTGCTGGCTGATTTCTCAAGGAGATCGGCACGCAGCGATGAGAAATCAAGAGCCATCAATGGAAAACAGGATGCAGCGGGAAGCTGCGACACCCAGAATTTGCTTCAGGGAAAAACAGGAGGATTTGCACCGGGCTACTTATAACTTACAAGCCAATTGAGCAACCTAGGTGGTTTCACGAAGATGCTGACCTCTGAATAAGCCAATGAACTGGAGGTTGTTGATGAACTTGGATGAACTTGGTATCATCGGGCTTGGCTCAAGGCATTGTTGGATGTCAATGATTATAGAAATGAAGCACTAACGGGCGACCAGGCTGTTCATGGTCTGACATTCTGGTGATCAGCCAACATCCATCATTGCTTTTGTGTCAAAAGGCATGTGCATTGCAGAGCAGAGGTAGGGTCCGTAGCAAGTTCACTATTGGATGCTAGCACACGGGTGCCTTCATGCTATTACAACCCAAAGAATTTCAGGTCAATTTACTGTAAAAGAACTGTAGGTGAAAGCACCCGTGACAATTCGAACTCGCATGTAGCACTCTCCGCATCGATTCATATCCATTACTGCAGCTTTGCCGCAATTGAAGCTGAGTCAAACACGCCATGGAGGTGTGTTTCTTGGCATCTGGCGAAAGAGTTGCGAGATTTGACGCGGCTGACTTCGAAGGAAAAACCGGCAAGGCCGTGAAGCAAGCCTTGACAGCTGAGATTGGTGTAACCAGGTTCAGACAAAAACTCTTTTTGGAAAATGGTGCTAGTGAGATCTCAGATGATGAGGTTTTTGCCTCCGTGCCGGAAAAGATTCAGCTGGTGGTCATGACATTTTGCCCACCCACCGAGGAAGAAGAGGAAGATATGATGGTGGCAGCAAGTGAAAATGATACAGCTGGTCTTGAAGAGTTTCTGAAGCGCCCGCTAAATCCGGAGATCAGAAACGTAGTAGAATATGAACATGATGAGAGTGTGACAGTTGTGACAGCCTTGCATTGTGCTGCAGAGTACGGACATATTGAGCCCATGCTGCTTTTGCTGGAGGCGCGTGCAGAGATAAATGCAAATGCAGCAAGCATCATGGGACACGAGATGGCCGCCCCATTGCATGTGGCGGCTCAGAATGGCCAGCTTGAGGCTGTAGGTTTTCTGATTGAAAACGGCGCGCGGAAAGATCAGACCGACCTCTGTGGGCAAACGGCATTGGAACTCGCATTTCAGGGTGGCCATTTCGACACTGCCCGCTTTCTAATACAGGTGGGGGCCAACAAGGATCCGCTCTTGACAAACCCGGGGGCATTGCATCTTGCAGCTCACCAAGGCTGGGAGGGAATGGCCAACTTCCTGGTTGAAGTCGGTGTTGACAAAGAGCACGCCGACAAGGACGGGTTCAGATCGCTGCATTTTGCAGCTCAAGAAGGCCAGTTCGAGATGGTCCGCTTCCTTGTTGAGCGCGGTGCCAGTCGCAACTCAACCACTAACGCTGGAAAGACTGCTTTGGATCTGGCGTCCGAGCATGGACGCGCGGACATTGTTCACTTTCTATCCGAGTTGGACGAAGCATCCCCCCTCAGGAAAGTCCGAAGAGTCGATAGTGACAAACCAGATGCATGAGAAAAAAACTGTTTGCGGACGTTTGCGGACTCCGTACATGATCAGAGCAGAGGCTAGATGGTCAAGTTTTTGGCCACAACGGCACCAGTAAAAAATGTCAAAACGAAGGGGATCGGCACGCAGCAGTTTTGAATCAAGAGTTTTCAAGGAAAACCGGATGTGGCAAGGGTGCACCCACATTTGGCAAACCAGCATCCATCATTGGTTTTGGCTCGTAGTGCATGTGCATTGCAAAGCATAGATTGGGCATGTAGCGATTGCAGTGGGGGTTGATGCCAGCAGGAAGAAAGCCTTGGTGCTAGTGCCACCAAAGATAGGTACCCCGCAGATGGTCACAGTTTGTCTCTTGATATACCGAGGAGACAATCGCCTTGTCAGCAGTGGTTCGTCAACAGCATGTCACAACACCAAGAGGGGGAACCGTACTGACCGACTCACTGCCATGGTTCTTTCTACCAGTGGGCGCAGCACATGACACCTGGCTTGATTTGGCTTGGGCTATGGAAGATATGAATCCCCCCGGACCTGTTTAACACGGAATTTGCAAGTTGGTGACCTGTGAGGAAGATCTTGCAAGTGGGGCCGCACTTCCTTACCAACCAGGAGGTGGGCCACGCTTGGGCAAGTTGGACCTCCAGAGCTGGGTGGGGTTTGGCTAGGGATGGTGGCATGAAAGCGTTCGTTCGGTCAGTTCAGTCAAACAGGACTATCCTGGAGAGAGAATACACCGGTGGCCAATTCCACAGATCTGACATGTAAACTGCTGTCCTGGAACGTTGCGAAAGTTGCCCAATGATGACCAAGAAGAGTTTTCTTGTAAATTGATCCACCACACAGATTTCTTCTTTGATCAGAGAGCCTCCCATCACACATCTACACCGTGAGGTATATGCCATCGTCAAGCAGGAGATACCGGATCTACGTCGTAGGAGCCTTGTGGCCCCCTCCAGACGGCCCAATTGGCCCAAGAGACAGTGCAAGGGTCACTGAATTTTTCGATTTCTGGGAGTTTTTTGCAGGCCACGACATTGGCACAGTCTTCCCATAACTTGGTTTGATCAAGTGATGAAGTCAGTGTTGAAGTGGTGCGGGTGTTTGCTAAGTTCTCTGCCGTGTTCTGCCGTGTTCTGCCGGGTGCATCCTGGTCATCCTCCAGGAGGGAGCGTTTGGATCAACTCCTCACCAGCCGCGACAACCGGGAGGGCCTGGCCAGACAGTTGGAAGCCGCACCTCGGTGCCGTCGGGTGTGGGGAGGGCCCAGGGCCTCAGGGCCGTCAGCCGACTCGTTGAACACGACTGCCCTGGACCCCAAGATCCCAAGATGGGCCAAGGATACCAAGCTGCTGACCTGGCTGGAGAACTGCTACCCTGCGGTTGGAACTAAGCGTGCTGCAGTGGATGAGTTCCTGGCAGGGATTGCAGATGCTCAGCTGGATGACTGGGACCCCATGAAATTTGTAAGACCAATTGGCGAGAGAGAGAGAGAGATAGATAGATACAACTAGGATATAGGATAGGATACGGGATGTAGGATAAAGAATGATAGGCAGACATGTACACATATGATCGCATGCATCTATCTATCTATCTATCTATCTATCTATCTATCTATCTATCTATATAGTCTATATACACACATGCATGTATATAAGTATTTATACATACACACGCAGTATACATAAAGATAAACATATACATGTACATACACTATATATCGAAGAAACAAAACTATTAGGTAGCGAATGGTTATCCTTTCATGGTGCAAGTCGGGCTGGGCATGTCCAAATCTGTGCATCTGGAACGAGTTGCACTTGGAACCAGCCGCCAGTGAGGATCTTGAGTTGGCAGATGATGAGGTGCTTCAGTTCCTGGCCAAAATCTGTGGAACAACTTGGGGAGTGAACATCATGGCAACCCCGCAAAAGGGACACAAAGCAGGACATGCTGGTGAACCCTAGAAATGGCCTCATGAGCTGGGTTGATTGCGCCGTGATGTTTTTTTTTGGGGGGTTGCTGGAAACCGAACGCATGATTGTTTCAACGTGCTTCAACGGTTTTTCTTGAAGTCGATCATCAGCTCTGAGGTTGATCAACTTGGCACCAGTGGAGACCATGTATCTCTACAGCTTGTGCGAAGACTGCGAAAACCGCTTCAGCGAGGAAGACTTGCAGCGGATTTGCCACCTGGTAGATGGTCACGAGTCAGTCATGGGTCATGAGGTGGATTCCATGGCAATACACTTGGATAGGTGCAAATTTGAGGCCATCAAACTAGATTTTTGGCATCATTTTTGATCATTTTCGGTGGGTGATGGCCGATCAGCGTGGGTTGCGAACCAAGGTGATTTAGTCAAGAAACATTTGCTTCCCAGCCACTTGTCGTTCCAGTCGCCTACGCTGCCCCCTGAAGAATTTCTGATTCTGGACATTTCTTTCCGGACAATACTGTATATCATGTCCTGGCATTGGGGAACCCTCAAATCCCCAAGTGTTTTGGGCCCTTAGCTTTTTAAAACCATTACTGTACATGTCTACGTTCACATTCTTTCTTTACATTTGTGATGTGGTGACATTGCGTTCTTGGGTGCTATTAGTTGGCCTACTTGAGTTCTGCTTGGAACCCATACTGACCTCAGGTCTTCCTAATGTAAGGGCCTCAGCTGCACAGTTGCACACCTACTGCTCCTGTCTTGGCCAAGACCACGTATGTCACCTTTTTCTACCTTTATCACAGAGCCCATGCAGTTAAGCAATGAAGGCCTCACATTTGATCGAAGTTGAGCACTACGTAGCATTACTGTGCCCCACTGCTCCACGCAGCTTTTGCTTCCAGCCTTCGCAGCTTGATCCCATGCAGCCCAGCCATGCTGCGACACTGGGCCGGGCGCCCCGGGTGCCCAGGGCACCCCAAGTGCTGCGCCCAGCGCCGCGCGGCGCAGCCGTGGCCAAGGCACCGGCCGTGCCGCGCAGCTCCCTGGCCTTTGCGGCCGTGACGGGCGCCATCGCGTGGAAGACCTGGACGGCCCGGCGGCAACGGGCACCGCAACAGGTGGAGAAAATGAACACGAAGAAACTGGGCTTGGAGGTCAGTTTATGTCAGGTATGGCCCGGTATGGGATGGTTTCTTATTGTTGAGATTTGGTTGGGGTTTGGACTGGGATTGCATCGAGAAAGTGGCCGTGTCGTGTGAGTGTGGCTTACAAGTGAAATCACATCATGGCAAAATCGCGACTTTGGATCTTGATGGGTTGCCATGACCAAGGAATTTCCTGAGCACGGGCAGCTTGACCCTGGACCTGGCCCTGAGCCTTGGATCAGATTATACAGGTGGCTGTCTTATGATGTCTTGCTGGGCTTATTGTTCCACAGTACCGTTATGTGGATTGTGGATTGATGTGGAGCATCTCACTGGCCTTACAGGGATCACTTTGCCATGCAAAGATACACTTTACTAGGTGTGGTGGGTTGCCGCGCGGCCGCATGGTGGAGATCTTTGGGGAGCCGCAGTCGGGCAAGACCTCTCTGGCCCTCAGCTGCCTACGGGCTGCGCTGCGGAACAAGCAGAGCTGCGCTGCGCCTGGTCAAACTTGGGTTTCATGATTTGGGGGCTGAGAATTTTATCACTCCAACATACTCCAACTCTTTGTCGAGAACTGCAATAGTCCCAAGCAAAGGATTGATTTGCTGCCAGTTGTCTTCTGAAGCTGGAACTTGACAACAGCTGGAACTTAGTGTCACAGTTCAAAGACTCCAAGGTTCTGGACGTAGACCGGCAGTGGCCCCACTGCAACTTGGATATATACTTTCACATGGTATGTTTTGCTTGTTGGATGAAGTAAGATTACTGTACTGATCTTGAATGTGAACTCTTTCCTTTCCTCCTCAGGGTATGGCAGATGGAACCGCCATTTGCCACCTGTGGTTGCTAGAGCATGCTAGAGCTAGATCGTCTTCAAATTCGGCTCTTTGACATTGCCGACTACGTAGGTACACCGCCCACAATTGTTCATGCTTCAAAGTCCCCTTCATGGCCAATCACAATTTTCGAATTGCTTCAACTCCGATACATTTTAACTCATTTGTGTTTGGTGAATCTTTGGAATTTGTATGTAGTTCCATGGGGCAAGATTTGTCATGTTGGTTCACCATGGAAGTGCGTCCGCTCAAACTATCGCACTTTTCAGCAAGGTTTTGCAAAAATTATGTCTTTGTAACCAGCAAGACGTGCGAGCCCCACACCCATTCATAGAAATGTTTTTTTTAACCAAGTGTCTTCATGATGATGGCCATCTTTGACAATCCATACGGTGCCTATTGCCCAAAAAAGACTTGGGAAACACTAGCAATTGCATGTGCAAAAGCAAGCGAGAAGTATCTAGCGTAGCATCAAATACATGCGCAGATGCAAGCAAGAAGTCTCCAGCGCAGTATCAAATACTGGTACATTTGAAATTGCAATTTAGAAGTCCCTGGGGTAGTTTCAAATACATGTGCAAATTCAAGCAAGAAGTCTCTAGCGAAGTATCAAGTTCATGTGCGAATGAACGTCATTCCGGCCCACAGCACAGGTGACGCCTCTGAAGATCAGCTACTTCGAGCCCGACCGAAGAAACCAAGCTGCATTTGAAACCTCGGGTCCCCGAAGTTGAACCAGTCACCAGTCACCAGGGTTTCTGGTGCCTACATTGAATCAATCCGCAGGAATGCAGAGGAGGCCATGGAGATGATGGTAGATCTGGTGAATTCCAGGCATTGATGGCGTGATTTCAATGTGACATATGGTGACATAATATCCTCACAATGCGAATCACTGGGGTCTCGGGGGCACGTGGATATCACATCCAATCTGAGGGGCGTTCCATTGATGGGATCGGATTGGAAATTTCCATACGCCCTTCCTTTCTTGATTTGACCTTGCCAAAGCAAATCTTGCAAAACCAACCCGCAACTTTTGAAACCTGACGGTGCGTTCCTGGAGATGGTAGGCAATATGACCTCATCATTTTGGACAGTGTCGCCAGCTTGATCTCCAAAGAAGAGTTGGAGGCCGACATTTCGTCCACAGAGGTTGGCTTCGCAGTGCCGAAGCTGTTGCAGCTTGGAACTTGGAGCAGAGGTTTTTTTTGCTTAGCAGCTACCTTGAATTCCAAATCCCACAGGCGGCTTGAACATAGAATTCCTTTGTTTCCCAGGTCAACATTAGTTTCCCGGTGCCCTCTTGAAGCACTCCCGACGGTTTTTAGGAGCAGATTCTGCACAAGGATGGAGAAGATCTTGCCCGAGACCGGGACGACCATCATTTTCACCAACCTTTTGAGGAACTCCAGGCTGACTTGGAGAGCCACCAGTGGGAAAGTTGCAAGCTGAGTTGTATGTCAGTTCCCCGTATCAGCCGAACCTTCCATCAGCCCCTTAAGATCCCCTAAGAGTGCCACCAAAAGGGTCAAGGCAGGCGATTTTTGCAACTGGTGGGGCTTTGATCTTTGAACTACTAACACTTGTGGGTGATTTCGATTGTTGATGAAGTCACCACCCGTCCTTAGATGTAAGATGTCGAATTCCACCCTCTTCCATGGCCAGATTTTCAGGTGGTCGGACTATGGCGCTGACAGCGAAGTGACCTGTGGAGGCAATGCAGTGAAGTACCGTTGCAGTCTTCGCATCGCAGTGAGGCAGCTGGAGAGACCACGATGGAGCGAAGGCGGTGAAGATGAGGATGTAAAGGCAATGAAAACACTGCTGGAAGTGGTAACCTCCTACTTGCTTCAGCAGAGTTGTATTTATTGACATTGAATGTACTTGTATCAAAAATGCTTTTAGCTGGTGTCAGGGTTTCCTTCTATCGCTTTCCTTGGGAGTTGGACAGGGGTCCCCGAATCAGGGAAATTTGTCAAAGTAGTTTCCAGGTGCCCAGGTCCATTCTGCAGTCCCGTTTTCGTCGATAAATGGCACTGAGGTCAAGAACAAGGACGGACCAAAGGGACCGCCAGTGGAGTGTGACCTTCTGCTAGGGAAGGGCATTTCCTGGGAGAGCAGTGTGGTTGAGGCCTGGCACTGCTCGTTCACACACACCGAAACATTGTATATTATATAAAAATAATATAAATAGATGTGCTATTATGTGCGATAGATGATCAAAATTGGGCAAAATCCAAGGTGACTTGACGACTCTTGATTTTTCTCGCGATCCCAGGCCGCCATGGACCTCCACGTCCTTGCCGACGCAGATGCCGAAAGCGACGCAAGTGGTGCCGTGGTCTTCCAGGGCCAGGCGCGGCAGCCGAGCGACTGGGCCAAGGTGTTGGAGGACGACCCCAAGATCTGCCAACAGCTGGCGAAGGCGTGTCGCAAAGCGTGGATTCGGAGAATGAATTGGATGACAACATGAAGATATTCGAAGATAAGGACCGTGCCTGGTTGAATTGGTGGTGAATTGATGGGTTTCTGGAGTTGTGTCTGTAGTTATCCATTGTGTATCGGGGATGTATTTATCACTTATCTATTTGACTATCTATCTACCTAAGATGCTCTCTGGGCCTAGAACTTGGGGAGACAGAAGCGGACGCAGATAGTGCAGAGCAAGGGCATCCAGTGTGGTGTTGACATGTTTGCCATGACTCCCCCAAGCCTTGAAATCACTTGTAATCTCAGGTATTTGTAGCCGTCCTTGGCGTCACAGCTTCTAGCGCTGAGGAAATTTGTAATTCATATAGTGCATACAGTAGAACTTGGATGGCCAAAGAATTTGCTGTTCCAACAGGTTCCACACGCGAGTTAGAAACTGGCCTTGTGGTCTCTACCCTAATGTTCCAGGCCGTCGAATGTTGAAAATGAGTCAGAAGGTCGCCGAGAGAAGACAAGTGCAAGCTTGTGAGTGACCAGTGGAAAGATGCATGAGTCCTTCCCTGCAGTTTGTAGCCTCCTGCAGTTAAACGTGGCCGAACACTCCCGATTTGCAGATGCTTTTCAATATTGAAACCGGGGACTCCATTGCCACAGGAGCCATAGGCATGTTATGGCCCTGTTGACATCATTGAAACCTAGAGGTGGAAGACAGCGGCGCTGGAACTGCTGAAGTTCAGGAAGGCGGAGGTGGGGCCGTGGTGAAATGGTTTATCCCTGGGGACAGGGGGCTGCAGATCGTGGTGACATCTTTTTCTCGAAGCAGAATTTAGCTACGTACACCGGTTCACCATTCCCATTCCTATTTATCTTTCCGCCTAGCATTTCAATGCATTTCATATATACATATTACTCTCTCTCTCTCTCTCTCCCCCTATATATATATATACATTTCATATCGTTCATAATTCAAAAAATTGCCAGGGCTTAGATTTTCAAACATCACGTCTCAGCTGCTGAGGTGCTGGTGACGCAGAGCCACCCAGCAAGAAACAGAAGGCGAGAGATCAGCTGCTCCCGATCAGGAACCACCTAAGGCGGTGTTCCATTGGAAACGGAAAAACTGCCATTGGATAGAAACATATTATGTTTGATCCGATTGGATCAGATCATGTAGTTGCATACAGTGTGCAAGTTGTATTAGTTCTTTACGACTTATATCATTTGATCTACTCTCCAAAGAGTACTCAGTAGTACTTTGTATTGTTTCTATGGAGCCTGGTGCTGCAAACATTTGGTGCCTTACATTCCCCCATATTCCCCACCAAAAACGCGGATTTTCTTTCAGGTCTAAGCGCCGCCAGGCCTGGGGGCAGAACTTTCGGCTTCCCAAGTGATTCGCGAGCCCATTGCCGATGAATGGGAAGTACATAGAAGTATGGTAAATGGTGCATTTTTAATCAAACAACCCACTGGTTATCAATCCTGGGTTGACCACTTGAAACTGAATGTGGCAGTTCCTTTCAAGATTGCAAATGCTGGATCCTGGATGCTGGATGCAAAGCTGCAGCAACAGATTCTATCAAATTGAAATTTACCCACGTGCTTCAAGCTGTCCTTTAGCTTCTTACTTACCTACACTTACCTTTGGTAAAATATCAGCGACGATATGAAGATTCTGTTCCCATACTCTTGCCCCCTGGATCAACCCAGGATCAGGGTGGGTTGAACAAGACCAGTTAAATCACCTCCGAACACCACTGGTTGGTGGTTAAAATTGTGTGGGATATGCAAGTAATTTCGGATAATCATCCCAAATGGATGGAACATCATGGAACATCATGGAACACCATGGTCCATCATTGACCATCATGGACCATCATGGAACATCATGGACCAAAATATTTCAAACATCCTGGCGACTTCACGTATTAAAAGCCGCCAATTGCCATGACGACGCTGTCGGAGAGCTCCGAAGGGACGGGACTCTTCGACTGTTTGACGGTGCGCTCTCCACGTGCCCTGGTAGCGGCAGATGGTTTTGCTTGTCATATCTTGTGGCCATCTGGAGAAATTGGAATTGTGGTTTATTTCCTGAGCAGAGCATCAACCAAACGCAACCAAGGCTTGCTGCAGCGAGGGGTTCCAAAAGCCCGCACCAGAGGAAGTTTTCGCATCAGTCATGTTGGGGTCAGCCGATTTGAGCAGTTTGTGCGCAGCGACATATTTCATTACTTGGCCACTGGGCCGCAGTTTGTGCATGCAGCATGCAACGGTTCACCTGCGGATGATCTCAAATTCCAACATTCGGTTTCCCAGGAGCCAACGAAGCTACTAGGGTTACCAGGGCCCAATTCCATGTGTTTCATCCTGGCGATACAGCCGAGGCCAATATGCCATTGCGATGGATGCTGCTCAACTACTGCGTCGTCTACATCTTGACCTGGCTCTTGTTCACTTTTTGGTGGCAACATGCTGCCAATGACTGTGAGAGTCGCGAGTTGAACTTTCGCAGGGCCTTCCTGCTGTCCTTGGAGACTGGGATTAAAGGGTGTGACATGGTGTGACTGTTTGGTGAGACAAACTTAGGGTCTGAGCCATGCAATCATGGGCTTGGTCCTGGTGATTTCATGTTACACGTACTATGCTGCTAGGATGGGTCTAAGGTGCAACCACCCGATTTGGCAAGACTTTGGCCAGAGACATTTGAAGACCGAAAGCAGCCATGGTTTCTTGCCGTTTCTTGTTTCGAGCTTAAATGGGTTGAACAAGTACAAATTGGATTCTTTGGGGCTGCCTGTCACTCGCCAGCTTTTTTCTGTCTCAAGCCCGGCCAGCAGTGCATGAGGCATCTTTGCAACTCGCAGTGGTTGGGGACCGAGGATTTCTGACTAACTTGATATGTTAGCAGTTCCTCGAGATCTGTCTTTGCGCGTCTTCCATCGCCTCGGGACCAATCAGTTGGTGGTGAGCCTGCAGATTCTGGAAGGGGACGATGCCTTCACTCGCATTTTGCAGACCTTTCGCAAGGCACACCTGCCGAGTTGCTTCCTGCGGCCGACTTTGGAACACGTGGCTCTGGCAATCAGAGAGTCGTTAGGTGAAGAGATGGAGATCACGCCGGATGTAGTGCCCTTTGATCCGCTTCCCTTCACAGATCCCTTGCTTCACAAAGCAGAACGGTTGCCGGAGAGCCCGTTGGATCCCAGCTGCTTGCAGTTGAGAGGTGCTATTCCACCAGATTCGTGTCCTTGGGGCCTTCAGTTTTCCTCCGGTTCCACTGGTGGATCTATGACTTTTTGGTGTGCCTATGATTTCCTGCTTCGACACAGGCCATCCTTTTTCCGCACCATTGGAACCCTGGAGGAGTCGTACCTCCAGGCCATCCGTGAGCTTGTCCTGGGCCGTGCCGTGGCAGTCTCCGAGCTGCAGCGCTGCCAGAGCATCGAAATGGAGCGCCTCAGGCGCCAGAGCGAGGAGGCAGCTGCTGAGATGCCAGAGGTACAGGTCTTGGTGGGACAACACGTCAGTGAGATCGATGCCTTGGAACGCCACTGGCAGAGTGAGATTGAACAGCTGAAGATGAAGCAAAAGGCATCCTACCGGGGCTTGGTCGTTGACTTTTTTGAACAGGAGGTCTTGGGGGACGGGGAGATAGTGGCAACTAGTGGGCCACCTTCCGTGCCAGACGACCAAAGGAATGCTTATTTAGCTGGTCCGCTACATCCCAAAGCATGGACAGATAGACAATCTAAAGCAGCCGGGTCAGAGCCGGAGGTCGGTGAAGATAGCCGTCTGACAAAGATTTCTGAGGTGCGCGCCACATTTGGGCGTAATGTGTTTTTCGTCCTTCGGCTGTTTGTGGGAGATGTGATGGAATTTGCAGGTGGCATTACCGAAACATCTGCAGAAAATGATGCAGACGGAGCAGGTCCGCAACTCCCCAGCGACTTTATGGGCCTTGAAAGCTACAGATGTGATTCCTACACAAGCTCTCTAGCAGCGTGTCAGAGCCAAGATATAACGATTCAGTCAGCGCCAGCCATGTCGCAGACTTGTGAGAACTCTTTCAAGTCTTCTTCACTTGGTTTTTGGCAAAGTCAGAGCTTTCCTAGGTTGCAACTGTCCCCCAGCGCGTATTCCGACAGACTTCGCGCATTGATCATTCCAACCCCAGCCAACCTTCAGTTTGACACAGTCCAAGTTTCCATGCTCCGAGATTTCGAAGCTCGGTGCCAGCGCATGACTGACTTTCATTTCCCTCCCCTCAAGGACCAGTTCGAAGCAGTGAAGCGAGTTGGCGGCGTGTTCCGCCCAGGTGACTACTTCTGCACGAGACATTCGAATTTGGGTCGACTTCATGCAGCTTTTCATCTCCTGGTGGCTGCGGATGCTCACTCCGCCGATGAGTTGCCAGCTTCTCTGCACCGGGCGCTCCGCCGGATTTTCTCGGAGTGTCACCGCTGCCATGTGGCAGAGGTCACATTGCCCCTGCTGCTGCTGGACATTGGCACCTCCGACACCTCCCTGCCCTTCGCGGTGGCCCAGCGCCGGGCCGAACAATCTCTGCGAGCCTTGAAGTCCGCACTAACAGAGCTGGCAGATGAATTGTCACCATATGAAGCACCGACTTTGAACGTGGTAAATTTGGTTTTGCCCATCTCTGCACTGCAAAGCGTGGCGAAAGGAACATCAAGTGTCGCAAGCACAACTCAGAGCTTTCTGCAGAACTCCTTTCAGTGCGTTTGAGGGAGAAAAGGTGAAGGGAAATGGGAGGAGAAACGCCAAGCCGGTTCCAGAATGCTCTCAATTTTGCAGTTGCTCCATTGTGGGGAGTTAACATTCCATTTTGCATCTAGTTGGTCTTGGTTTGTGTTTGTCCGTGTTGCTCTGATTCGTGCAATCATGTCCACGACAGGAACAGATGCACGTCGTATTGTGGAGAAACACCGGTGAAGTGAACATAGAGTCAGTTAACATGGAGTCAGTTGAGATTGAGCCACAGGATTTGCAGAACATGGCAGAGTATTGAAGGGAATGAGCTACGACATGCTTTAACATTCAGTTTAACATTGAGGCCTCATGCAAAAGGCATCCAGCTCAGTTTGAGGCTGTTCTATTTTCAATCCTTTCTTGGCGTCCCTGCTTAAAGGTGTGATTTTATGCAAGGCCTGCTTAGAACGGTTGAAGACATCCTGTTATTTCGAGCCGGTTACTTCTCAGTGTGCCCTAGAAATCTTCAGGGGTCGCAGGGCTTAGTTTACAATGTTGCCCGCCATCACTTCACAAAATGTGTGATTGATTGTGACAGAGATCGGGTGCCTTAGCGATAACTCTGGCTTGTAATTGACAGACATTGTGTACAGGAACCCTCCTCTTGGATGGTACAGCCCATGGGTTCACTGCAAGGAGACCATGACCACCATCGGCTATGGAGTCTCCGACCCGCTCCTCAACTGAAAGTGGGGAGGTCTTAAATTCCGTAGCTTGCAAGTTGTTGTACTATTTAGGGTATGCCTGTATGATACTAAATATGTAAGTGACATTAGAAAGATGAACATAGAAATAAAGAGTTATATAGTAGACAAGTGCACATACATACATATTTAAGTCATTTAATCTAGTATGCCTTCTGCCTTCTAACACTCACACAGACACACTCCGCGCATATATAATTATATAATAATATATCATATCTAATATACTTACGTGTTTTTCTTTTCACACCCTCACATGCAAATACAAAGAGTCTATTATATACATACATATACATACATATGTCTCGTGCGTGCCTTCCATAATGTTTGACCGGTCATAGCTGGACAGGGTCTGGGATGAACTCAGTTAACAGCAACTCCGGTCATGTAGCGTCCAAGGATGTTTGATGAATGTCCAGAGGTGGTTCCATTGCTGGTGGCGCAATCGCTGATTGGTCTATTGATGGATGCAATCTTTCTGAATCTCATGTACACGCGGTTTTCCACCGCCTTCACCCGATCGGCCAGCATCATTTTCACGGATGTGGCTATTGTTTATGAGGAAAACGGCTTCGTGAAGATTGCCTTCCGGGTTTGTGAGGTGGGGATGTTGTGGCTTTGATATGGGGAGTACCAAAAAGGCAGACAGCAGACAAGCCTAGTCTTGAAACTATTCCGTTTTCTTTTGGACACATAATTTTGAACCACTTCTTAAGGTGGCGCGCAAGCCTCTCATTGAGCCCATGGTGCGGCTGTACCTCATCAAACACGGGCGAGTGGCTGTGGACGCGGACATGGAGGGCTTCTTGGACGTGGACACGCATCAGATGGCCCTGGAAGAGCCTGACATCAACATTGCGGTGGCTTGGATGCAGCCGTGGGCCCTGTGGGCCGGAGAAAATCGGAAAAACAGTTGGTTTTGTGGGGGTATCTATGGGTATCTTTATTCAGTTATATACTGGGAATTTGGGGGTCCGAATTGCAAGGGCTTACTATGAAGGGGATGGGATGATCATTGGATGATCAAGATTGAGCCTGGAACCTAAAGTGACCAGTTCTAACGCGAAAACGGTCCTCCAAAGTTCTAACGCAATTGTTTTCGGTCGTACATATTGGGTTTCAGGGGGACCCAGCCATTGACTTGTTGCCATTCCCATAGTGCAGCATCCTCTCATTGCGCCACCGAGGATGGGAAACTTTTTCTCACACTGCCTACCAAAGTGGTTCATTGTTTAGACGAGACCAGCCCCCTCAGCATCTTGACAGCAGTTGCGATTAGCTGGCTAGATTTACGTTACCAGCAGGGGGCTTGCAACCCCAAACAAACCGTTGACTTTTAGGATGTGACAACTATGGCCCCACTGGGGGACCCACAAGTTCGAGAATCAGATACCAATGGCCTGCCAATGTGGCCATTGTTCGCACGAAACATACCAATTCAAGGTCAATGATACGACACATACAATTTCGGGGTCACCAACTCTTGTTTCGCCATTTTTGGAGCCATCCATCTATCACCGTTTTTTTTTCTTTATTGGAAACCGTGTAGAGTAGCCCTTCAGAAGTCAATGGTTTCAGCTCAGGTAGTGGCCCTGTACGCAACATGCAGCAGTTTCACGACCAAATCCAGGCTGCTGGACCGGAAAGCGCGGACAAGGGGGAGGGGGGGGGTCATAGGTTGAGGCCCCAAAGCTGGAGATTATTTTGAGGCAATTTGACAGTTTGATGGCAAATGTATGATATATGAATATATATATATGATATATGTAAACACTGTAGTAAGTACATAGTATACAGATTAAGTTTCTTGGAGATGGCTGGTTGGTTGACACCATCGTCGACTGGGGGAAGCTGCAAGTGAGCTAGTGGCCGCTCACCAAGGCTATGGATTTCTTTGAAGTCATCGTGGTTCTGAGTGGCACATGTCCAATCACAGGCAATAGCTTGGAGGCGCGCCAGTCCTACACGGCATCAGATTTGCGCTACAATTGTACCTTCGCACCCTGTGTGTCTTGGCACGGGTGGCTGGTTTGGTAGGTTGGTGGTTGAACCGTTGAACCGAATTTGTGGGAACCCCCATGACATTGCCTCCGGTGCAAGGTATCATTGCACGATGACAAGCATCAGGTGAACTTTGAATATTTTCATCGTACCATGAAGTGCGACCAAACAGGGAAGTCACCCAGCACAAAGTTGCTTTGATTGTATATGATTGTATAGTTTTTCCCATGTTTTTCCTCGGGGCCTGGTGCAAAGCAGCTAGGCCTGCTGACAGCAGTGTGAAGGATTGGAAAACGGGTCTTGCAGCCAGGCACAGGTATCACATGTGTCAATGGCAATTCACTGAACATCGATATTTCAGTCTCCTAGTTGGATGATTGGATGATTGCAGCTGCTCACGAGCTGACCGAGAAGCCAATGACCTTGATTTACATCAGCAATGCATGCCCAAAAAAAAACAGAAGTGGACTATGTCAGCATTCTGGTTCTTCAGACATAGATTTTCGATGAATTTCGTTTGCCCCATTGATGTGGGCACAGGAGACATACATCAGCAGGAGGGGAGGGTTGCCATGGCAGAGGCGGCTGAAAGAGAAAGCTGCCTCTTCCTGTCCGAATGGGAGGCAGCCCGCAGAGAAAACCACGCGATTCGAAGGAAATACACCGAAGGCCAGCTACTGGGCTATGCAACGGCCTGGGAGGGGATTGTTTTATCCGCTGTCATGACTCTTTATGTGTTTTGTTTGGCAGAGTTGTCGTGCTTCTGATGAATATCATTCGGAAGATACCGTCCGAAGTTGCTCAGAGGGAACATGTTCAACAAAGTTCTGGCCATCCCACGACTTGTGGACACAAGTTCCAAAGGAGATGGTTCTTCCAGGCCATCTTGGTTTGCAAGTTTCCTAACTGGACCGATTGCGCTTAGATGCGGGGGGAAAACAAGTTCCAACTATTCCAAAGGATGGAAAACTCAATCAATCCCTATCAATCCCTAGTACAATTACTATATATATATATCAATTCATTTTTATTGGGGTTAATATCCAAGAATGATTTTCATGGTGATGTCACTGATGTCCGGCTTGTTCCTTTGTTCCGCCAGGTGAACTTTGCCGACAGCAGCTGCAGCTTCAGAGCGCATTGACCTCCATCAAGTCGTGGCTGGCAGTGGTGGAAACGAGGCAACGGCTGCGCCTTGGCCGCCATGGCCATGGCAAAGGGCAGCCTGGGTTGGTCATGGAAATTATGAGATGTTCGTTCGTACATGTTATTATGGAGAGATTGGGTGGTTCTTGACATTTCTTGACTAATGTAAAGATGGGGAGAAAACTAACCAAGAGACACTAAAATATTGCTGATAAAGCACCCAAAGACAAACAGAATATGTTGGGGATTCTTATCATCACCCCTTCGAGAACTCGTTCAAAAATCCAACCTCGAAGGTTCAGGGTCAACACTTCAAACGAACGGACAACAAGTGGTACAACAGAAACTCGGAAAGAGACAGCACCAGATAACGATCCCGCTACGACGTTACCGTATGTTGATGGTTGGGTTAGTAAGGGAATCGTCCCAACATTTCCTTATTTCAGCTTGGTAAATCATTCTGATTTGCCCAGATTTATCGTTTCTCAATGTTACATGTGCAAATCAGTGTAAATCTCTCTGTCTTTACATGCCCACATGCACGCACACATACACATTATCATACAGATCTATACGGACACACACACACACATACCAAGATCATTTCATACATCACATCTATATATATATATATCATATATACATATTACATTCATATTACATTCATATTACATTCATATTACATTCATATTACATTTATATTACATTCATATTACATTCATATTACATTCATATTACATTCATATTACATTTATATTACATTCATATTACATTCATACTACATTCATATTACATTCATATTACATTTATATTACATTCATATTACATTCATATTACATTCATATCACATTCATATTACCATATGTTACGGTAAAAAAAATATATAAATATGACCAGGCAGATGTTGTTCATCTTCTTCACTTCCCAGGCACCAAGTGGCCTTCAACGCCGCGGTGCAGGCGCTGGATGAGTTGGACAGTCGTTGGCGTCCGCTGCGCCTGGAGCCCGACGCCGCGCCGGCCGCGTGGCTCGTGGCCTCCGAACGCCACGCGCTGCAAGGGTTGACCAAGTGCCTTGGAGCGGCCAGGGCTAGCCGTGGGGCCATGGGTAGTAACATAGCAGTTGAACTTATTGAATATGGATGAATATGGATAATATGGCCATTTAGTTTGTTTGCCTATGAAAAAAGAAGGTGATTTGCCATAGCTATGTTAGTTTACCGGGGGGTATCCCTGGTCCCTTTGTTAACAGGAAAACTATGGGAAAACACTGGAAAATCATCTAGAAGAATGGGGCTGGTATATAATATCATGTTTTTGACGGTCCACGTAGGTGGGTGGTGATTTCACCAGCCAAAATTTGGATTTAGGATGATAACTTGACATAAACATTGGAATTTCACCCATGAATATGGGATTTGGCTTTCACATGACAATTCGGTATACCTCCCATGTGTGACTTTAACATATATTGGGAAAAATGTGGAAAAAAACACCAATTTTCGGGGGGTGCCCTATCCCATGGTTGAGTTGGGGGATGAAGCGGCGTTGTAATTGTAAGGATTTGTGCTCACTCTGTCAGTTGATCTGAATTTTTTGGTGACGCTACTTACAAGATTTCCTAAACAACCCAATCCCGCGCAAGTCTTCCTAAATGGTTATTTTATACGATAGCGAACACGCATAGGGTGTGGCGACACGATTCACATCGCCGAGTGGCGGAGTTTGTGTTGAATCCTGGTCACAGCAGTCAGAACTTACATATAATTTTCCCATATTTTGCTTTCAAACACATAGGGTATTCATGGAAATGACATCATTGGTGAGGGAACGGGTAACCCTTGAGAGTGCCCAATGGAGTGAGGGAAAAATAATGAAAAATAGGAGGCCAACCCACAGGAATTTTGAAGTATTGACCATCCATGTTTGGGCACCCCAATCTTGACCAATAGTTGAGTTGGGCATATTGAACTACAATTTTATTCAGGGGGTCGTTGCCGAGGATATGTCTGGGGGATTGCGGGATTCAATATTGTCAGTCACTCTGTTGGGGATTGAGCTGATTGCAGTGAAATTTATTAGGGTTCATTTCAAAAGACGCATGGAGCACAAGGGAATTCGACAAGGGTTTTAGAACTACTGCGTTCATATCATGGGAAGCCTGGGTTGACGTCATCCCTCCAGAAGAGGTAACTCCTTCGAAAAAGATTGGACTTTGTTTGGCTGGGTGCTGTACCACTGCTTGCAGCCTCATGCCTAATTGACGAGGGATAGGCCTTCCCATGAAATATTGTAGGAGAAACCATCCCTTGATATCCCTTGTGCAGCCCCTTAAAACAACAAAGGTGCTGGGCAACCGCAGCACCAGAGGGCGGGCAGAACCTTATACAGCGGTTTCAAACTTTGTCTGATCACTTGTCCTCACAAGCCCCTTGGCAAGAACAGCAGCTCCTCGAGTAATTTCCATTGGTGGTGCCACCGGAGGCACAGGTACGCATGCAGCATGATCAAACATGATCTTACCTTGTTCGCAATGATAGGAGCAACAAACTTGGTACCAGGGATGTGCAATTATGTTTCTGATTCTGCAACTGCGTTAGCCTGCCCTCAGTAGTGCTACTCAGCTACTCCCTCATCAAAGGGTTTTCTGGCCTTCCAGTTACTAGGTCACAAACCAGCAGTCAGCCCCTGAACAATTCAGGTTGTTTCCGCCATCCGTCTCTGGGATGAATCCCATCAAGCTGCGGAGCAAGCGTGGCAAAATCATCACGAGCGCGTGGAAGAAGCTGCACGGGCCATTGCTCAAGAACGAGCACCACCGGACTCGTGGCTGAGTGCCTAGGTGAAGCATCCTCTGATGAACCTTGAAACCTGAACACCCAAACTTCGAAGCGGGATGAACTGGCCATCATTTCCCATATCAAGATTCAGAATGATTTATATACAATCTTTGGGTTTTCTATTTCTATGCGAGTTACCCAAAGGTTGGGCCCCGGCGATCCAAACCGCCCTCTCTCTCTCTCTCTTTTTCTGTTGTCCTTAAGTAGTCGTTGCCCAATTTTGAGGCCACAGTGATCCCAAATCCACTGGGTCTTTGGCGCCCAAGGTGAGGTGCAATATCGCGAGCGTGCGCGCAAGCACGTGACCGATCAGGCGGCTGCAGATGAACTGCTGCTGTCCACGGCTCAGCAGCTGGCTACATTGGAGGCCCAACGTGTCGAGTACTGGAAGTCCTTCGCCGAGTCCTATCGCAGCTGTTGTGGGCAGCAAGGTGTTGTATTACAGGATGAGGCCATGATTGGGAATGGCAGTGGGTGGTGTTTCTGGCTCAATTCCAGATTCCAGGACAACAGGGCCAACTCCACTCCCCTGGGGGCTCTGGTTCTACTAGAGGGGGAAGCACACAAATTGGGGTGTTGGGGCAAACGATCATCTTGGGGACTCGGCTGGTCTATGACTGTCTATGTTCCTCTCCAGTTTAATTGCTCCATCTAGAAGTGGCGGGTGGGCACCGACACTTCAACTCACGTTGTGGGTTTCAACCAATCCTTGAGTGACACAGTAACATTACACTCGCAATCACTGGAATGCATTAGACTGACCTACTTTCTTTTGCCTTCTCTTCTTTCTACCCACCCTCTGTTTTGCGAGTACCCCCCATCGTCTTTCAACTCAACGAGAGAACTTTGTAGGGACACCGCTGACCATATTCCCATGGGCCCGTCTTTGGCTCATAGCGTAATGGTCCTACAACCCTCAACTGACACAGGGTTCAAACGCAATAGGCCTACCTTGGTACTGGACAGAGTAGCACGGAAAAAGACTAAACGGGAGCAGAAACTCAGGAGAATAGGGAACAGGAAGTGGTTGGATCGCTTTCAGAAGAAACGTCAAGTCAAACGTATCTGTCGCATAGGGTCTTAGAACACGCGTCAATTAGGTGCACGCACGGATTATATCGATCAGGATCACAAACTGGATGAGATGATTGATTTGTGGGAACATAGACCGTGGGAGATAGTCGCAGTACCAATATGGTGTTGGAAACTCAAGCAGCAAGTCAACCTAGATGGACGTTAGTCAGCCAAGGTAAAGTTAATATGGTCATTAATGAACACTGGACCTTGACCTGGTGGAACAGCACCCTACCGGTCAACACAGATGGTGAAGGGGAACAGTGTCAAAGCATGTTGATACAAATACCGCGTTTCCAAAAACTGGGGTTGTCAATTATCGCGACCTATGCTCCTAGCAGTCGAGCCACGGCGGATGAACTACAGGAATGCGTAGATGACCTTGAACACCTCATTGGACAACTTCAGCCCCGTCACATCTCAATGCTAATTCAATTCTGTACCAATCAAGGCTTGGTAGTCGCTAACACTTGGACACCCCAACCCAAGAAGACCACATGGTTGCACCCTCGCTAAGGGACCCCTCACCTGGTGGATTATTGCTTAGTAGCCGAGAAGCACCTTGGAAATGCTCACCGGGTCTTAACAAGCCACCCCGAGGTAGCATGGGAAGCCTTCCAACGAGATTGGACACCGTATACGGACCATTCACTTATTTAATTAGCTAGGAAATTAGCACCGCTCAAAGGATATCAAAGTAGACCCCTCCCTGTGCGCCCAGCGACAGGGCTCTGCGCCAAAAGTATCACGATACAATTGTCCAATACACCACAGCCGAGGGCACTCCGGTAAACTGGACCGAAGTAGCCACCCTTCTCAGCAGATTGCCACTGATGTTTTTGGGGTTACAAAAAGACACGACACAACCATGGTTTCTAGGACGCCAAGAGGAAATCACCTGAAGGGGAGGTGTTCTCTGGCACCTGACGTTCTCTGGCGCCCCCTGAGCCGTTCTTTGACGGCTGCGCGATGCATGCGCACACTTTTTCCCACACACCACATATCGCTGAACATGTGCGTTCCTTCCCTCACGCCGACATCCTTTCCTCATGTCGATTTTCTTTTACTTTCTGTCAATCGCAATAGGATGCTGATACACCTCCTATTTCCCATTCGCTAACCGATGTCTATTCTTTTTGAATCTTTGTCACCTAAGGATAATCAAGCGTCATGCGCCTTCTCAAATCACACATGCCAGTACAATGTAGTGACAATCCCTCCGCCACGCGCACATCGCACAACATGCATGGGGGAGGTGTTCTTTGGCACCTGACATCCTCTGGCGACCCCAAAGCTTTTTTTTGGCGGAAGCATTCTTTGGCGGCAGCACAGCTTGCAAGTTTCTTGTGCACACACGGACACACATCTACGCTCGATTCACTCTGCCACTGCTCTGCCACATGCTCCTCCCCCCCCCCCCCACCTCTTTCCGGTACCTCGAACACATACCTGCTTACGGCTCACTCTCCTGGCCCGCAGATTGGCTCAGAACCCGCAACCCGCCCAGAAAGAGAAGGGCATAAAAAAGAGCTTTAAGCTATCCGGAATCATGCCTCCTACCCAAGAGGTCATTCGCTTGACGAAAGGCGTCCATCACTTGTCCCAGGGACTTCGGGTAATGCTCTGGCAGTTCACATTCTTAACGCCATTTAACGCCCACCTGCAACCGGTTGAAGGAAGCCAACAAGTCAAGGAGGCCGCAGTTAAGGAAACGACGCCCTTTATTTTGTTGCGGAAACGGTGGGACCTGCATGGAGCGCTCTCGAATGTCACCGGGCACAGTGGATTTTTTCGAACGTTTGGAAAGGGAACTTTGCGACGCTGGGTAGGGCCCTGTATCAGCAAAAGTGTGCTTAATGTGACAAACTCCGATGGCGTTTATTTCCCGGAAGTCTTCACACAGCGGAATATCAGGCATCTTCCGAAAGGGAGAGCACAACTATCAGATTACTTTCAGGAATGTGGAGGGATCACTCAAGTTGGCGTACTATATGACAGCGGTCATCGGTGGAAAAGTCCGCACCCTCGAGGCCCTCGAGATCCCCTACCGGATCAGCTATGACAATAAACAGCCGCAGCAGCAGCCGGGCCCAACGGCAGCAAGCTCAGACAGAAAGCGTCCTGAACAGACGCATCAAATTACAGCTTTGCAACAAGTGCACAAGAATAGCGGCTCAAAACGCGACACAACAAAACAAAACAACAGACGTCAGACGAATCGGCCACAAGTAGCCACCCTCACAGCTGGGTTATATATATGGCAAAGTTAGAATTGACTTACATATATTTCTGTGTAAATACGTTTAAAGCAGGTGTATGTTCATTATGTTTTTAGTTTCACAGTCAATGGTATCACGGATATGCGTGTTTTTAATTTAGTTATTTGACTTCTTATGTTTTTAAAAGGTTTTCTAAGTTGTGTTGGCTTTGGTTTAAAATTATTACGAAAGCCAGCTAGCTGGCTAGTTGCTGTTTGCGAACGAAGTGAGAATAGGGGGTGTGGGGGGGGGTGGTTGCCGAAAGGGAACGAAATCTCGCCGTGCCCCTGTGTTGAGCGCCAGAAAACGGAGCATTTTGCTGGATTATGTACCACTAGGCAATTTGCTGACGGTGGGGTATCGATTCCCCCTAGGTCCGCCTTTTTGGTGGCCGGAGAGACCATGAGGATGTATTGGAAAATACAATGAAACTGCAGGAGAACATGATAACGATCAGAGGAAATCGTACAAAATCCCCTGGAAAACGGACGAAAACGGAGCGAATGCGAGGAACAAACCATGGAAAATCCCTTGGAAAATGGAGGAAACCGGAGCGACTGCTAGGAACAAACTATGACGATGCAGTAAACATGCTGGAAAAATACAGTGAAAGTGCAGGAAAATGCGATAACAACGAGAGGAAATGGTGCAAAAACGATCGGAGAATGAAGGAGACAGGTAAAACTCTTGGATTAATATTAATATTGAAAAGGTATGAAAATGCAGGAAACCAGAGGAAATGGTGCAAAAACCTATGGAGGAAAGAGGTGAAAATGATAGGAAACATGTAGTAAAAAAATGCTGGACAAAACATATTGAAAGCCCACGAAGAGGATGTATTGGAAAATACAATGAAACTTGAGGAAAACATGATAACGATCAGAGGAAAATGCTAGGAACAAACCATGCAAAATCTGTTGGAACATGGAGGAAACCGGAGCGAATGCTAGGCGCAAACCATGACGATACAGTAAACATGCTGGAAAAATACAGTGAAAGTGCAGGAAAATGTGATAACAACGAGACGAAATGGTGCAAAAAGGATCGGAAAATGAAGGAGACAGGTAAAACTCTTGGATTAATATTAATATTGAAAAGGTATGAAAATGCAGGAAGCCAGAGGAAATGGTGCAAAAACCTATGGAGGAAAGAGGTGAAAATGATAGGAAACATGTAGTAAAAAAATGCTGGACAAAACATATTGAAAACCCACGAAGAGGATGTATTGGAAAATACAATGAAACTTGAGGAAAACATGATAACGATCAGAGGAAAATGCTAGGAACAAACCATGCAAAATCTGTTGGAACATGGAGGAAGCCGGAGTGGCTGCTAGGAACAAACTATGACGATGCAGTAAACATGTTGGAAAAAGACAGTGAAAGTGCAGGAAAATGCGATAACAACCAGAGGAAATGGTGCAAAAACGATCGGAAACTGAAGGAGACGGGTAAAACTCTTGGAAAAATATATTGAAAATGCATGAAATGCAGGAAACGAGAGGAAATGGTACAAAAAGCCATAGAGGAAAGCGGTGAAAATGGTAGGAAGCATGTAATAAAAAAAGCTGGACAAAACACAGTGAAAACCTACAAAAGAGAAGAAAGTAACCACAGGAAACGGTAGAAAAAGCAGTGGAAACTGGAAGAAAAGTTGTGACAATATTAGGAAACGGTGTACAAGCTAGGAAATGCTTGTAACAACTAGAGGAAACGATGTAGAAAACAGTACAACATGGAGGACACGCGTGAACATGCTAGGAGGCATGTAACATGTTAGAAAAATACAGTGAAAACCTAGGAAAATGTTATAACTAAAAATGCTTTAAAAATATAGTGAAAACCAAGACAATGTTAACGAGCGGAAACGTTGAGCAGGAAATCCGATTTGGTTTCTGTAGATAATGTTAGATGATGAGCAATGTAGTTTGGTGATAGGAAATAGTGGCTGACTCGCGTACAAGACATTGCCATGAAACCTTGGAGCAAGATGCGGCTGGTATAGGAAAAAAGATGTATGAGTTGTAAGATTTTAGGAGTTGCATGGGAAAATTGGTTTCATGGTAATCTGTGTGAAGTTAGAAAAGTGTGATTTCGTTCACAGAGTAAGAAAAATAAATACAATCTGCAGATTAGAGTATTTATAATGCTTAAAGCTGTTTGACGTTTTTTTGTGCCTCCCTGATTCTGGTAGTTTTGTGATAAGAACTACAAAAACGATCTACTGGTAAACGGAAGGAATAGTCTTTCCGGTTTAGAACTGAGTCGACTGTCAAGTGATGCATAGGCTCCAGGCCTCTGGTTATTGTCACAAAGCATTGGAATGAAGATTGCGCCCAGGAGCCACCCAGGTTAGGAGACAAATGCTGTAATATCATTGTAAGAGGCCGTACTGAGAAGGCTGAAACAGAACTAAAAGTGAATCTTGTACTAAAACATCGAGAAAGAATTTGAATCTTCTAATGGCAATGACGTGTGCCTTTTAAAAGGGATGTTTGGCGAGTGTGATAGCTGAGAAGATTTTCCGGGATGCCAAACAATTATCTCTATCGATGTCAGGGATGATGCTATTCCGCGACATTTCCTGTAAAATCCCTATTTTCCAGCCCCTTGGGGGGTGGGGGGGGGTACCCAGGTCTGTAAATGGCCTAAATATATATACTTTTGATTTGGACTGCATGTTCGCCACTGTTCTATATTTCCCGTGGGTTTTGCATTGTTTTCCTCGATTTTCATTCGTTCTTATACCCTTTCTTACGTATGTTATAATTTTGTCTTGGGTTTGCACTGCCCATTTTGCGAGTAGAGCTATGTTTTGATTTCTCACCGTACGGCCAAAATGTTGCGGAACTTCGCGGAGAAGCATGGACCACGCTGGGGAGAAAACAATTTAGACTTTGAGAGGTCACATGACCACTGTTCACACAAAAAAACGGGTATTATTTATCTACAATAGGTGGGAGCAAACTTGCGCTGTTTTAAGATAAATGAGCAACCAAAGGCGGATTTACGGAACTTGAGATAGAACTTTTCACAATGCCGCAGTACATTGTAGGAAACATATTGGATATAGAAATTACAAAATCGTGGAGTTTACCCGAAAAAGGTCCATTTAATGATTGGAAAATTATGACCCGATAGCAATTGTTGATGTTGGGGCGCTTCATGTTTGAGCCATGCCATATGGATGAGGTGGAGTTTCAGTTTCACGCGCCCCCGCGCGAGTCAAAAAGCAAGCGCTGGCTTTCGTTCCACCCCTTCTCAGGTTATGTATTTAACTTAAAAGTAACTTAGGAAACTTGGTCTTTTTTGATGTTTGAAAAACGTGCTTTTTGGGTTTCCAATATCTACTTGTTTTGGATTTTCGATGGTGGTTTTGGAGTAGTTGGAAATATATCAATGCTCTTGAAGAGCGCCACAGCGGCCTACTAGGTCGCTCATTTTGAAACTGTTCAGTTCTTATCAACAGATGTTGCTTTCTACACTTGATTTTACATCATTTTCATCACTTATACATTATTTATACATCATTCATACATCATCTATACATCATTTACACATCATTTATACATCATTAATACATCATTTTTACGACATTTATAACCTCATTTATACATCATATTTACATCGTTTATACGACATTTATATGTCTTTTATGTCATTTGTACATCAATTTAAAATCACCCACACATATTTCACACATTTTATGAATGCATACGTGGACATGCAATATTTTTCTCTGATGAGTATCTTCAGCACGTTCCATACATCAAGCTGCGAGCTTCATTGAATTTGACGAAAACGTTTGCAATCCTAGTCGCCAAAAGCATTGGCGTCCCAATGGGCAGCGGTGATACACCTAACTGCATGTAAATGCCATTGGCGGCCCAATGGGCCGGAATACTGTACATGAAATCATTAATCTTTTCCAATATGCCCACTGCCAAAAATTCACCTACCTGCGGCCTACTGGGCAGCGGTAAACTGATTTTCCCTACATTTCCAAGCGTCCCGGAAAAAAGTATTTTTTTCACAAATCATGTAAAAAATCAAGGCAAAACGAATCAAAATAACTTGTAAAACTTAAAGTTACTTGTATCAGTTTTTTTAAAAACAAAACAGCAATCACAAATTACCAAAAAAGTTTAGTTTTTAAAGTTAGCTTCTAAGTAATGTATCTACATTACATTTACCACATGTTTCACATGTTACTTGTATCTTTGCCATCTAAAACCCGACCACCAAGTAGATTCGCTCGCTTCCTTTATGGTCCAGGCCTGGACAAAGACACTTTCATGTCAAAGAGGTAGCTGAGGCACTAAAGCTGGGGCGCCTCGTGACCTCCAGTTTCTGTTTCCAATGCAATGATGTCGCGTTCTTAACCTTTGGTGGCTTTTTGCTGTTGCTGCCGGCTGCCAACCCTCATTTGAGCCCATAGGGATGCGTTGATCACAGAAAGTGCCCACTTTAACACAAGCATGCACTGCCAAATGTTCCAGCCGCAGGCTGGGTCCTTGTTGGCGACCTCCTCCAAACTATAGAGGTGAGACCTGTGGGGAAGGGCATCCGCAGGTGGTGGCCTATATCTTGTTTGCATCAGGCGTAATGATTTTCTCAAAATTCAGAATCGCCCAATGATGATGGCATACATGGTCAGGCTAGTCCTGTCAAAGTTACTGCAGCGCTAACATGGACATTGGGGTCTTTCACAGCTAGTCCATGTGAGTGTGCTATTGCAGCCTCTGTGGTTCAGAGGGTAAAAACAGAAGTCACATGAGCCGGAAAAGAGATGAAACGAAATGTCATAAACCACCATACTTTTGAGATGAAACGAATTGTCTGAAACCATACTATTGAGATGAAACGAATTGTCTTAAACCATCGCACTCTTGAGGTGAAACAAAATGTCTTGAATTTGACAACATACTTTTGAGGTGAAACAAAATGTTTTAAATTTAACCAAATACTTTTGAGATGAAACAAATGGTCTGAAACCATCGTACGTTTGAGATTGAACGGAATGTACTTTGGAGATGAAACGTAATGTCATAAACCATTATACTTTTGAGATGAAACAAAATGTTTTAAATCATACCACCATGCTTTTGAGATGAAAGGAAATGTCTTAATTCAAACCACCATGTGTTTGAGATAAAACAAAACGTCTTAAACAATCATCGAAGGAAGTTTAGAAGTCAAACTTCCGACAATATGGAGAGATGAAAAGCAGAGCAGGGCAGAGGCAGAGAGAAGAGGAAGATTAGCAGAGAGAAGATCAGAAGAGAAAGAGTAAGAAGACAGAAGATACAGATACGCAAAAAGGTAGGAAAGTCGCGAAACACTGTGTTTTTCCAATGATTTGTGGCTCCGGAGGGTCGAAAAGTAGGCTCGCTAAAGCGGCGGGTGCGGAGCCAGCTGGCCAGAGGAGCGATGAAAAATTGCACGCCGTTGTGGCGCGAAGCACATTTCCAAGTGAAAATGTACAAAGCACACCATTCTCGGACCACTTTTGGAAGTTGAGATGTCAAAAAAGTGCACGCCGTTGTGGCGCGAAGCGCATTTCGAAGTCAAAAGTGTTAAAAACTGGCGGTCTCGGACCACTTTTGGAAGTTGCGATGTCGAAAAAGTGCACGCCATTGAGGCGCGAAGCACATTTCGAAGTCAAAATGTACAAAACACCACATGTTCGCGCCACTTTTGGAGGTTCAGATGTCGAAAAAGTGCACGCCGATGTGGCGCGAAGCACATTTCGAAGTGAAAATGTACAAAACACTAGGGGTTCGGACCACTTTTGGAGGTTCAGATGTCGCTTCGCCGCTTCTCTTCACTACACTACACTACGTTACCGTACACCACACTCCACTATACGACACTACATTACACTACAACACTACACTCCACAACACTACAACTACAACTACAAAACTAGACTACACTCCACTACTCTCCACTACAGTAAATTTCACTACACTACATTACACTACACTACGCTCCACTACACTACACTACATTAAATTACGCGACGCTCCACTACACTACATTACACTACACTACGCTCCACAACACTACAACTACAACTACACAACTACACTCCACTACACTCCACTACACTAAATTACACTACACTACATTACCCTACACTACATTACACTACACTACACTCCACTACACTACATTACACTACACTACCTTCCACTACACTCCACTACACTACACTCCCCTACACTACAACTACAACTACGACTACACAACTACACTCCACTACACGAAATTACACTACACTACACTACACTACACTACATTCCACTACACTCCACTACACTACACTACAATACACTGAATGACATTGCACCACAGATAGACAGGGAGACAGATAGACAGACAGACAGACAGACAGACAGATAGATAGATAGATAGACAGGTAGACAGCTAGACAGATAAACAGATGAAAGAGAGATAGATAGATAGATAGATAGAAAGATAGATAGATAGATAGGTTGATAGATAGATCGATAGATTGGGTACTTAGATGAAAGAGAGAGAGAGATAGATAGATAGATAGATCGATAGATAGATAGATAGATACATAGAAAATAGATGGGTAGGTAGGTAGATAGTCAGAGAAAGAGATAGAAAGAGTGAGAGAAAGCAAGCACCTTTCAGTCCATCAGTGGCTTCGCTCTGCCATCCCTGATTCACAACAACCAACCTCTCCTATAGGTTTCCTATTTTTGAAACTTCCGCCACCGCCTTGTGCGGTACTACTGGTATTTTTGAGAACCAAGTCGAAGTCGCAACTTCAGAAGGGCCATGGTGCGATATGATGAGTTTGGCCAAAAAATCATCGGCCAGAAGCAACGCGGACGAGTTTCTTGGCATATCCAAACATGGTTCATGCTACCATGGCTTGTTCAGGCGTTGCATGCCAAGGTTCACAGCACTTCAAAAGGGATGGAAAACCATGGCTGGAATCATGATACTGTAAAATGTGCATTCATGAGTTGTATTTTAAATGGAAGACAGAAAGCATATTCATACCATACGTTTCTTTATTTGATTTTTTCATCTATTTCATCACCGTTCCTCTCCATTGCCCCCTTCACGGCTGAGGATGAAGCGCGGAAGCAAGAGAAGGATAGGACTGGCTATTTCGGTGGCGCAGCTGCTGCAGAGGGCGCTCGGGTGGCAATTGGCGGTCCTCAGCCAACTAATGTTGAATCTTGGACATCAAGGTGAGGATTGGGGCGCCACTTCATGATCTAGACACGCGCAACAATGGAACCCAGACTGTGTATTCATTTGATTATGATCTTCTCATCCATGTTCGGGTGATGTTGCTTCCAGAGTCATTGCCTCCAACAGCCCCGCTTTTTTTGCTCTTGCTGACCCAGACCTTCCGCATCGAAGCGCCTCAGATGATCCTGCCCGATCAGACAATTTCAAGTTCAGTGGATCAGGACCCCTCATCTTAAATTTTGTCTTTCGTGCAAAAAAACATGGGAGACTGGGTATACACGGTGCCACACATGGCGGCACCCACGAGCTTGATGATGATTGATGATGATCAATCAAGAGCACAAGCTCAATGAGTTGGTAAAGCGCGCGCTGCGGACACTGTTGGGCGTTTGTAAGGATGCAATGGGGGATGATTGGGTATTTCCTATCATCACACCTGGGGCCCAGGAGACAATGGAACTTTTGGACCGGAAGCTACGTGAGGGTTTGGGAGAAGCGGCCTCCGGGGTTGCCCGGTGCATAATGGGAACGCTACTGTTGAAGCCAACTTTCATTGTCGGAACATGCCCGCAACGCAAAGCAGGTCAACATGACTTTTTTGTTGAAATTCCGATCGGGCTATGCATCAGAGAAATGTTAATGGGTGCAACGGACATGGTCCTGGCCGTGCCCGTGCACCTATCAGAGGAAAGGGAAAGGTAAAACCCAGGGGAAAAGCGCAGTGCCAAGGCTCCGCCAGAGGGACCAATTCTCTGCAGCTGTGGATGCAGCGATGGGATTCGGAAGCACTGAGCAGAAAGCGCATCGTGGCCTCGGCCCCAAGGGCACTGACTGTGCTATAGTTCACATTAGGGTTTTGTTTGGCGAGCAGAACAGCAACAGCCGTCCACTCCGTTTTTAAAATGGCCCTAGGAGCCCAAAACAAAACGAAAACAAAAAGAGGAGCCACCACGAGTTTCACCTTGCTAGCACATGTATAGGGCTGAGAATTCATTTTAAATCAATTCACATCCTTGACCCTGCCCCAATTCTGGTTCTACTTGTTGTTCTGCGTTTTTTTAAAAATCGGTTGGGGCCAACAGTTCGTTTCGGGCACGCTCAACTGTTCCGGGGTCCACGCCTCATTTTACCCTCGTAAGGGACACACGACGCATGGTGACGCAGCTCACTGCCATGGCATAGTGGCGTTCAAGAGCAAGCTGATGATGATGGTGATGATGATGAAATGATGATGATCTTGGTATAGGGTCACTGTGGACCGCTGTGATGACAACAGTTACCTGACCAAAAAGAGCCAACCAAGAGTGGATTTTCGCGGACGACATCACCTTTCTTCCTATTACGCGTGGTCATGTCTCCCCCCCCAACCCATGGAAGACACACAGTAGGGATCGATGTCTGGACACACATCGACTGGACATGTGCTAAACCTCCACGTGGTGTCCCTCGGACACCTGTGGAATCTATGTGTCTCACACGAAAACACATAGATAGCAGCATTCTCTGGCCACTATGTAACCCTGTAAAGTAAGATCCTCGGAAGGCACAGTTATGGCTCGAATATCTGGTTTACCTACGCTACTACGTACAACATCGAACACGTGGAATCGTAACTACACAGTCTAACTGGCACATTAACGGGGGGTATTGGGAGTGGTGCAGAGAAGTAGGTGACTCGTCCCAACACGGTCAGAAGCATCGTAACGTTGTGAATTTGTTCGTTGTTGGAGTGTGCAGGAGGTTGGACGTAGTGTACCTATGTTTGAAGTTCTCCTGTTCTTGTGGCATGTTTGTGATCCTGGTCACTGCAGGGTCCAGGCTCAGGCAACTTTTTCGAAACCTTCCAACTTTTGGATAACTCAGGGATGATGACGATGACGATGACGATGACGATGACGATGACGATGATGTCCAACCCTGCCATTCGCTTCTTGGCAGGCTCCTGGCATGGTCTCAAACAGCTTTCAAGCGCCTCAGATGCCGGTGTTGCCTGACATGCCAACCGCCTTTGGTGCCGTGCTCCAGCGTGTGAGTGCTGCCATGATGGCCCCCAGTGGGCTCTTTGGGCGTGGGAGTGATTGGAGGGAAGGGGCAACCTTAGCAACTGGCCTTTGCCTTTGGAAATGTTTGAACATTTTTGTGTACTTTCTTCTTTTCTTGATTTTTCTTTATTCCCGAGAGCGCCTGCGAAGGGTTCTTCGTAAAAAAGCAGCCGTTGTACTACATCTTCACACCTTCACATCTGCTGATCTACATCTTCACACCTTCACACCTGCAGATCTAGATCTTCACACCCTCACACCTGCAGATCTAGATCTTCACACCCTCACATCTGCAGATTCACACCCTTCACACCCTGACATCTGCAGATCTAGATCTTCATTCACACCTTCACACCTGCAGATCTAGACCTTCACACCTAGATCTCTCACACCCTCACATCTGCAGATCTAGATCTTCACACCCACACCTGCAGATCTAGATCTTCACACCCTCACATCTGCAGATCTAGATCTTCACACCCTCACACCTGCAGATCTAGATCTTCACACCCTCACACCTGCAGATCTAGATCTTCACACCCTCACACTGCAGATCTAGATCTTCACATCCTCACACCTGCAGATCTAGATCTTCACATCCTCACACCTGCAGATCTAGATCTTCACACCCTCACATCTGCAGATCTACATCATCACACCCTCACACCTTGCAGATCTAGATCTTCACACCTTCACATCTGCAGATCTCCTCTCGCTCTTCTTCTATTCTCTCTTAAGGCGGGGGCGGTGCCGCCGGAGCGCCACGAAACGCAACCCTTTCGCACGAAATGGACGTTGGACGTCCAAAACCTAGGTAAAAATGCGATTTTGAAGCGTCGCCGGCAACCCTTTCGCACGAAATGGACGTTGGACGCCAAAAACTGAGGAAAAATTGCAACTTTTATTGGTCGCGCGCAACCCTTTTGCACGAAATGGACGTTGGACGTCAAAAACTGAGGAAAAATTGCAACTTTTATTGGTCGCGCGCAACCCTTTCGCACGAAATGGACGTTGGACGTTAAAAACTGAGGAAAAATTGCGACTTTGAAGCGTCCCCGGCAACCCTTTCGCACGAAATGGACGTTGGACGTCAAAAACTGAAGAAAAATTGCGACTTTGAGGTGTCAATCGCAACCCTTACGCACGAAATGGACGTTGGACGTCAAAAACTGAGGAAAAATTGCGACTTTGAGGTGTCAATCGCAACCCTTACGCACGAAATGGACGTTGGACGTCAAAAACCTAGGTAAAATTGCGACTTTGAGTTGTCAATCGCAACCCACGCACGAAATGGACGTTGGACGTCAAAAACTGAGGAAAAATTGCGATTTTACTTGGTCAATCGTAACCCACGCACGAAATGGACGTTGGACGTCAAAAACTGCGGAAAAATTGCGATGGACGCTTTCGTTTCTGTACAAGTGTCTGTGTGTAAAAGCGTCTGTGTGTAAAAGCGTTTGTGTGTGAAAGCGTGTGTGCGTGTGTAAAAAGCATCTGCGTGTAAAAGCGTCTGTGTGTAAAAGCGTCTGTGTGTAAACGCGTCTGTGTGTAAAAGCGTTTGTGTGTGAAAGCGTGCGTGCGTGTGTAAAACGAATCTGCGTGTAAAAGCGTCTGCGTGTAAAAGCGTCTGTGTGTAAAACCGTCTGTGTGTAAAAGCCTTTGTGTGTAAGAGCTTTTGTGTGTAAAAGCGTCTGTGTGTAAAAGCGTCTGTGTGTAAAAGCGTCTGTGTGTAAAAGCGACTGTGTGTAAAAGCGTTTGTGCGTGTGTAAAACGCATCTGCGTGTAAAAGCGTCTGAGTGTAAAAGCGTCTGTGTGTAAAACCGTCTGTGTGTAAAAGCCTTTGTGTGTAAAAGCTTTTGTGTGTAAAAGCGTCCGTGTGTAAAAGCGTCTGTGTGTAAAAGCGTCTGTGTGTAAAAGCGTTTGTGTGTGAAAGTGTGTGTGCGTGTGTAAAAAGCTTCTGCGTGTAAAAGCGTCTGTGTGTAGAAAACGCGTCTGTGTGTAAAAGTGTTTGTGTGTGAAAGCGTGTGTGCGTGTGTAAAACGCATCTGCGTGTAAAAGCGTCTGCCTGTAGAAGCGTCTGTGTGTAAACGCGTCTGTGTGTAAAAGCGTTTGTGTGTGAAAGCGTGTGTGCGTGTGTAAAACGCATCTGCGTGTAAAAGCATCTGCGTGTAAAAGCGTCTGCGTGTAGAAGCGTCTGTGTGTAAACGCGTCTGTGTGTAAAAGCGTTTGTGTGTGAAAGCGTGTGTGCGTGTGTAAAACGCATCTGCGTGTAAAAGCGTCTGCGTGTAGAAGCATCTGTGTGTAAAAGCGTCTGTGTGTAAAAGCGTCTGTGTGTAAAAGCCTCTGTGTAAAAGCCTCTGTGTAAAAGCGTCTGTGTGTAAAAATGTCTGTGTGTAAAAGCCTTTGTGTGTAAAAGCTTTTGTGTGTAAAAGCGTCTGCGTGTAAAAGTGTCTGTGTGTAAACACTTCTGTGTGTGAAAGTGTTTGTGTGAAAAAGGGTCTGTGTGTAAAAGCGTCTGTGTGTAAAAGCGTCTGTGTGTAAAAGCGTCTGTGTGTAAAAGCGTCTGTGTGTAAAAGTGTCTGTGTGTAAAAGTGCCGTGTGTAAAAGCGGTTGTGTGTAAAAGCGTCTGTGTGTAAAAGGGTCTGTGTGTAAAAGCGTCTGTGTGTAAAAGCGTCTGTGTGTAAAAGCGTCTGTGTGTAAAAGCGTCTGTGTAAAAGCGTGTGTGTAAAAGTGTCTGTGTGTAAAAGCGTCTGTGTGTAAAAGCCTCTTTGTGTAAAAGTGCCTGTGTGTAAAAGCGTCTGTGTGTAAAAGTTTCCGTGTGTAAAAGCCTCTGTGTGTAAAGGAGTCTGTGTGTAAAAGTGTCTGTGTGTAAAAGTGTCTGTGTGTAAAAGCGTTTGTGTGTAAAAACGTCTGTGTGTAAGAGTGTCTGTGTGTAAAAGCGTCTGGGTGTAAAAGCTTCTGTGTGTACCAGCTTCTGTGTGTAAAAGCGTCTGTGTGTAAAGGAGTCTCTGTGTAAAGGCTTCTGTGTGTAAAAGCCTCTGTGTGTGAAAGTGTTTGTGTGCAAAAGCGTCTGTGTGTAAAAGTCTCTGGGCAAGCGTCTGTGTGTAAAAGCCTCTGTGTGTGTGTAAAAGAAAAGAGTGTGTGTGTGTGTGTGCGTGTGTGTGTAAAAGCTTCTGTGGGTAAAAGTGCCTGTGTGTAAAAGTCTCTGTGTAAAAGCTTCTGTGTGTAAGAGCGTCTGTGTGTAAAAGTGTCTGTGTGTAAAAGCTTCTGTGTGTAAAAGCGTCTGTGTGTAAAAGCGTTTGTGTAAAAGTGTTTGTGTGTAAAAGTGACTGTGTAAAAGTGCCTGTGTGCAAAAGCGTCTGTGTGTAAAAGCGTCTGTGTGTAAAGGAGTCTGTGTGTAAAAATGTCTGTGTGTAAAAGCGTCTGTGTGTAAAAGCGTTTGTGTAAAAGTGTTTGTGTGTAAAAGTGACTGTGTAAAAGTGTCTGTGTGCAAAAGCGTCTGTGTGTAAAAGCGTCTGTGTAATAGCCTCTGTGTGTGAAAGAGTGTGTGTGTATGTAAGTGTGTGTGTGTAAAAGCGTCTGTGTGCAAAAAGCGTCTGTGTGTAAAAGCGTCTGTGTGTAAAAGCGTCTGTGTGTAAAATCGTCTGTGTGTAAAAGCGTCTGTGTAAAAGCGTGTGTGTAAAAGTGTCTGTGTGTAAAAGCGTCTGTGTGTAAAAGCGTCTGTGTGTAAAAGCGCCTGTGTCTAAAAGCTTCTGTGTGTAAAAGCCTCTGTGTGTAAAAGCTTCTGTGTGTAAAAGCCTCTGTGTGTGAAAGTGTTTGTGTGTAAAAGCGTCTGTGTGTAAAAGCTCTCTGTGTGTAAAAGCGTCTGTGTGTAAAGGAGTCTGTGTGTAAAAGCTTCTGTGTGTAAAAGCTCTGTGTGTAAAAGTGTTTGCGTGTAAAAGCGTCTGTGTGTAAAAGTCTCTGTGTAAAAGCTTCTGTGTCTAAAAGCGTCTGTGTAAAAAAGTGCCTGTGTGTAAAAACTTCTGTGTGTAAAAGCGTCTGTGTGTAAAGGAGTCTGTGTGGAAAAGCTTCTGTGTGTAAAAGCGTCTTTGTGTAAAAGTGTTTGTGTGTAAAAGCGTCTGTGTGTAAAAGTCTCTGTGTAAGTGTCTGTGTGTAAAAGCCTCTGTGTGCGAAGGTGTGTGTGTGTGTACAAGAAAAGCGTGTGTGTGTGTGTATGTGTGTGTGTGATGTAAAAGCTTCTGTGTGTAAAAGTCTCTGTGTAAGCGTCTGTGTGTAAAAGCCTCTGTGTGTGAATGTGTGTGTGTGTGTAAAAGAAAAGCGTGTGTGTGTGTGTAAAAGCTTCTGTGTGTAAAAGCTTCTGTGTGTGTGTAAAGCATCTGCAAACTAGTGACATGTCTGCAAACGTTTGCACAAAAAAAGGTCCAATACCATAATGCAGTAAATGACACGCGTTATCTCATTTTATTCTGGGAATATCCCACAGAAACTATCAAAAAAGGTCGGTACCATGATGCCGTGTATGACACATGTCATTTCATTTTAGTATGGAAAATCCCACATAAATGGCCCAAAAAAGCTCGGTACCATGATGCTGTGTATGACACATGTTATTTCATTTTATTATGGAAAATCCCACATAAATGGCCCAAAAAAGATCGGTACCATGATGCTGTAAATGACACATGTGACAATACTTCACTAGTGAAATGTCTGCAAACGTTTGCAACAGAGCTCGATGCCATCATGTGCTTGATGTCAAAAACAGAACCGTTTGAGTTCAGGACCATAAAATGTCATATAGAGACACTCTTCAAAAGCTTCTGTATGTAAAAGCCTCTGTGTATGAAAGTGTGTGTGTGTGTGTAAAAGCATCTGCGTGTAAAAGCGTCTGTGTGTAAAAGCGTCTGCGTGTAAAAGGGTCTGTGTGTAAAAGGGTCTGTGTGTAAAAGCGTTTCTGTGTAAAAGTGTTTGTGTGTAAAAACTTCTGTGTGTAAAAGCATCTGCGTGTAAAAGCGCCTGTGTGTAAAAGCGTCTGCGTGTAAAAGTGTCTGTGTGTAAAAGTGTTTGTGTGTAAAAGTCTCTGTGTGTAAACGCGTCTGTGAAAGTGTTTGTGTGTAAAAGCGTCTGTGTGTAATTTCACAACTTTCCCCTCCATAGCTCATATAAAATTCACCAACCATTCACCGACTATTTTTTACGACTACCATACTCAGAGCTGCTTGAAGGACGTGTTTTTCGCTCTCGGGCCAACCGTCGTCTAGTTTCCTTCCGAGGTGGAGCTCCCCAACATAGTGACATGGTGACTACATAAGGCTACATTCCCCAATCTCACTGGTTTTGCACCCAAAAGCATCAACACCTTAACATAGGATCAGACCTGGGTTTCTGCCAGGTTTTGACCATCCACGGCTACCTGCACCTCTTCCTCCCCGACCCCAAGGACCCCAAGGGTGCCAAAACGGCCGCAGATGGTGATGACACGCCGTTGGAGCTAGTGGAGGCTGACGTCAAGGCCTCGGTCTATGCACCAAGGGCCACGAAGTGCGTCTTCCAACGCAGGGGGCAGGAGCTGGTGCCTTGAACAAAAATGGTGGAAACAGGGAGAAAAATGGACGAACAATTGTGGAAAAAACATGAAAAAACAGGAAAAAACAACTCCGATCATTTTGGGGGATTCCAATGGATTTGATCAGTGAAACATGGGGAGTTGAGAACGATATTGCAAGATATGTAGGAATTCCAACGCAATAAAATTGGGATGGGTATTTTGATGGTTCATCAACGCACGTATGCTATTGGGTTTTTGGGGTTGGTGTTAGACGGGTTTCGATTTGAAATCTGGCACCAAATGGGGGGCTTGAGGCGTGATTGCCTGCCGCACACAATAGTAGCATGACCAGAATTGCCTGTGGGCCTGAGCCGCCTTCTCAAAGGTCCAATTTTCAATTCGTGTTGCTTACCTGGATGAACATTTTGATGAACTAGCGACAAACTACCAAATTAGTATCAAATCGATTCAAATCCCTTAAACCTCCCATTTTGTTCCTAGGGTTTCAACTCACCGGTCCTCCCATTGACGCAGGTGCTGGACCTGGCAGAGGCCTCAGCCGACCCCGGCGACGGCACCGGCACGGCCAGCGTTGGCGAGGCCAGTGGCAGCTCCACGGGCTGGCGGAAGTGGTTTGCGAAGGCGGAGAAGACGGAGCCCCTGAGGCTGGGGGAGGCATGGGGTATAGCTATGGTTGTAGCTATAGCAGCTAGGTTGTAGCTATGTGTGGCTATGGTTATGGCCAAGTTATGGCTGTGGCTGCTAATGTTTTGAATGGAAGGACTGTGTGCCCAATTGCAAATGTTTCTTTTTGGTAGAAACCCATTGAGAGGGTGTTAGAAAGCGCCTCATGATGCAGTGGCATGGAGTGTTTTGGCAAGTTGTTTGAGGCGGATCCATGCGAAAATGTCGGACCCGCAGCAGTTTGTGGAGCTGGAGAACCACTGCCACAACTTCGTTCGACGGGGACAAGCCCTTCGGAGTGCCAGTGGATCACCAACTGCTGGATATGGAGCAAAGAACTCCAGTTGATGAGCTTCAAGCATTGGATAGAAAAGTAGGACCAGCAGAAAATGATGGGCTCGGTTACCCGGTTTGGCGAATTTCAAGTCATATTTTCACATATATTCACTTCGAATTTGATTGCAACTTCGATGACTTGCCAGGTCCGCTAAGCTCCTTGAGAAGGCAGCAAGGGATGGGTGCATGGAGCTTGGTGGAGCCCCCCGGGTCTCATTGCTTGTATTGAAGCTGCAGTGGGTGCTGCAACCCCTTGGCTCAAAGCATTGATGCAATCCCAAAGCTGGATTGTGGCACCCAACACTCTCTACGATTGAAGGTTCTGAAGTGTGCAGGGCAAAGTTAGAATCAGTTGAACCATAGGACAGCACTCCTCCCCACAAGCATGTCCTATTTCAATCTATTTCGGTAACTGTGCGTTAGGTTTCGGGAGTCGCATCGTAGTCAAACACGCAATCCTTTTCGTCCATTGGACAAGAGCTTCCTGGTCATTCTGTTACATTCTGTAATGTATTGACAGCTGATGGCAAGACAACTTCCATTTCTGGGCTGTCAACCGGCTGTGCAGCCGGTTGACCAAAGTTTGCCTGATGCTGTTGCAATGGGAGGTTTCTAGCATGCTTTTGCGCAGTGACATCCGCATACCTACACCCTGGGAAGCTTTGATGCAAGAGATCATCCCGTGAATTCTCCAATCCACCTGCTTCGAAGGTTGGCCCACTGCCTTCCCACCTTGTGATGCAATACTGCAATACAATACTAGACCACCAGATGCAGTCATTTCGCATTTTTTCTAATGGAGGAAACGAAGCATTTCTGCATATCTTGGGCCATGGACCCATGAGCCCATGAGCCCACCAAGGAGTGCCAAAGATTGCAGCCCTCATTTGCTTGCCGCAGCCATGCATCCAGCCGTTTCTGCTCCAGCCGGTCCTCTGTAACTTGGTCGAAGGCGTGCCACACCGTTAAATATTCGATAATTTTCGGCCGTTGACAGCCAGTCAACTGCCAGTTTGTGTGATTGAACTTTCTGATTTAACTGATTCAAGTCACTCAGTGTGATTCAGTGTGTGCTCCCTGTCCAGGTCTCAGTGGCAGACCGACCCTTTTGTTTGAAGAGTTTACATGAATTTATCCTTTGCACTGATCTTTCTCTACTGTCCGCATGGCGATTCCTTGCGTTATGTTTGTCAAAAGGTTTAGTTGCAGTCCAATGGCAAGTGTTTTCGGCAGGCTTTGATTTCTGTAAGGGTGCTTTGTAGTAGTTTGCGGCATGAGATTGCCCCAGGTAGCTGCTACGGCCACTGCTGCAACAGTTCTTTCCCGCTGCCGGGGTCAAGGTCTCCGGTTGCGGACATCGCAGAAGGTGGCGATGGTCGCAAGGGGTGGACCCTTGGCGATTGCATCATCGGTTACCATAGCAGGTGGCCTGTATGCGTAGGGACATGGGAAAATAAGAGCCCCAAACTCACCATACTTAGCAATGCGCAAGCGCATTATTATATATAAATATAAATATTATATATATAAATATATAATATATATATATATACATATGTAAGAGTTACTACGTGTATATCTAGCAATCCCAAGATACGATATGATAGAAAAGTAAAATCCTACAAACATTTGAAAGTTAAATTTTGGATATTTGCTGTGGTTCCTATATATCTGCAACAATATAATGAAGCACCCAATGGGGTAAGTTCTGGAAGACGATGCTGGACCCTTCCAACCTTCCTGGGATCAATGCCTCGGCCGAGGCGATGACGTTTTTGCAGATCCCCCAAGGGAATTGAGCCGTAGCACCAAGAAGCAGTTGATGCTTGGTTTGAATCTATTGGTTTTGGATGGGTGTCACTCTGGGTTAAAACATGTCAAAACATGTCAAAGCAGGATACCTGCTTGAAGTTGAAAATGAAACCAAAGATACATGGGTTTGGAGTTTGGAAGGTGGCTTTGATATTGCTCGTGGCCGATGGTTTCATTCTTAAACAGCCCGAGTTTGAGGGTTCGAGGCACGTGTTTGTGCCCAGGCTGCCGAAACATCACATGATGGTGGACGTGGCTGTGCTTGCCGCCAGCGACAGCGAGGAGGATCTGCAACGAGATGCCAAGGTCTTGTTGTCGCAGCCGCACATCCGCTCCGTGGCAGTCTTCGAGCCACGCGGTGTGGGCTTGGATGAGTCGAGGGCAGGGGTGCGGCATGTGGCCGGGGACCCCAACCTGGAGATCATCTACAAGGTGGGAAGGGGATCTCAGAGTGGCTCCGCAAGTTTTCCTGTCCAGCTGAGAGGCCTTCTGGGCCGTTTTTTAATAATCAAACATGTCATATTCCCCACTGATGCATGATGACCAAAATGACCAAAACATTGTAGAAGGGATAGCTCACCTGCAGGACTTCCCCAGGCTGATGCTTGAGCTGCTTGAGTCACCAGGAGAGTGGCCTCTCCTTCCGGCTGGACATCTCCCAGCGCCTGAGTCGCTTCAGTCGCTGCCAGGGAGGACGTGGTGAACGGGAGCGCTTGGCGACGTTGGTAGCTCCCGGTGAGCGAGTCCTTATCCTAGGCAGGGCCTACACCAGGCATCATAGTGCTTGTCATCGTCATCAGCATCAGCATCGATGGAACGGATTCCTGACTCCTGACCACTTCATGCTTTGTCGGCTGCCCATCCCTTGCCTCCCGGGCTCCCCCAAAAAGATCTTCAACATGTTGCTTAGCAGTGGCTGATGCAACTCGTTACTATCCGTTTAGAGGTGGCCCCACAGAGGGAAGTCCAAAGATCCACTCAACATGTTCCATATTTCGAGAAGGAATGCAAGCTTGGGGTTGGTGTCGCCAAATTTCGGCCCATACCCCAATATTCACCTTGTGTACTAATATACTACATGGATCTACATGGCACATCTATCCCATCTTCCTGTTATTTAGATCCTCTTCCCGTGGATCTTCCAAGCCCATGACGCGTGGAGGCTCTGGCATTGGCATCACCGCCTGCGTCCTTGGTGCTCGGTCGGAGCCAGCGGAAGTTCTGGGCATTGAGCGGGATGAGGTGAAGAATGATCCGCTGGCTGAGCACAGCGATGGGTTCAAAACCACCAACAACAACCCAAATTGGTCGTCTTTAATGTTTGGTAATGTTCGGTACCAAACCATCCAGAATCTTGGGGGTCAGTATGGTCAAGAATTTTCATACCCAGCTAGTGGGAGGATGCCCCAGAACCAAAGATCTTCTTTGGCGACCTGATCTGGAGGTGGGGGAGTCATGAAAATTGACCAAGGTTTTCCTTTGGGACATGTTTGTTCCCTTCTCATTCCATCTTCTGTGTGAGCCTTCCGGGTGACAAACCGGCAGTGTTCCGCTTGTTTTCAGATGGACCAAGATTTGCTGTGGGGTGCCAGTGTCAGGGACCACGCGTCTATTGGACATTTCAGGGTTGTCCCCTTAGAAGATTTAGAAGTTTGTGTCTCTGGTGCCACTACCATGGAGACTTTATAGTTGAAATGATGTTGAATGGAGTGAGTCACTCCTCGAAGACTTATGAACAAAGCCGGGGTTACGCTGAGAACATGGGCTAGGGAGGGACATCATTGAAACGTGAAAGCATCGTCAAAGCAGAAAGAACCAGATACAGTCCCATCATTTTTGGATATTCTTGGCTTTGGGCCCACCTGTTTATGATGGTTTATCATAATTTTCCGAGTAAAAATTGCCACAATTCGGGTCGAATCACCTCATGTTCACCTCCCACTTCAAACCTTTACAGGGCAACAGCATGCGGCAGCTACAGCAGCCTTTAGCGGCCAAGGAGTTTGCCGTGGCCAACATATGCGACAACAAGCTTCAAAGAACGGTGCGCAGCATCGCTGGAGATTTGTTGGACATGTCCCAGCTAGGCAGCTTCAATCGGATGCTCGGAGGCATCAAAGGTGAACCTGAGGGGGCTAGTGATGATCCAATATTATGGTGGGTATAACGGTATAATCATAATCCAATGAATCGAAAAAGGTTGGTTTGTGTTTATGGGGTTGGGAGGAAGCATTGTATTTTTCTTTCGTTTGATTCATTCATAGGTGCAATCACTCCTATGATTGGATGATCACAGGTACTGACAGATGCTGCCTGCTTTGGGATAATACTGAAAGCTTCTTCCCTGCTTTAGCACCTTTCCCCTGGGCGGTCACAGCACGCCGGTCACTGATTGATTCTGCTATCAGGATTTGTGCCTTTCTGAAGTTCCAGCCGATTGAAAACCTGCAGCCATTGATGGGAGCCTTGATGCCCGGAGGCACGCTGCACTACTACAACCACGAGTCCAAGGAGGAGTTCAGTACCATGGACTTCAGTTTGGTGGGCTGGGAAGGCGGTACATTTCTAAGGGATACGGCCCTCAACTTTTGGAGTTCAAAGTCTTTGGACATGGAGTTTAAACCACCACCAGCAAAGCAGATTGGATCCATCCCCATGACTATCTCACCATCCGAAGCTGCACTGAGGCCAGGAGCCCAGTGCGGTGCTGGAGGCTTTCAGGGCCCTGGCTGCAGGGCATCCGCATCTCCAGGGCGAGGTGCGTCTGACGTGGCGCGGCAAGGTGCCGCGGAAGTCCATCGCGCCCAAGTTTTATCGCGTGGGGATGGATCTCAAGATTTCATAAAGATGAAAAAAAAAGGAGCCGGGAGGGGGTGAGGGGTTGAGCAGGATGGGGAAGGTTGGGGACTTGGAGTTTTCGTTTCTGTTTCTTTGATTGTGTTGGGAGTAACTTACCAGCATATGTTGAGGTAGGTGCGCATCTTTTTGTCGCACAATGACAGGACTTGTAAGGGGTCATTCTGCACATGGCAAATCACACCGTCGATTTGGCTGCAGCTCCTCCAAAAACGGCCTTTTAAAGTGTTTTGTGATCAATGTGGTTCAAATTGAGCATCGCTGTAGAGAGAGAGAGAGAGTCCAAAGATTGAGCTGCACCACTCCAACTGGCAAGGTTGTGGACACCTTGCTGATGCAAGCTG